TTCCTTTAAAGAAATGGAAACCTTATTGTTGACCGTTTTTCCTATTGTTTTTTGGTTTGATGGTGCTGAAGAAAGAGGTCTTTTTGTTGTTGTGCTTGATGTAAACCCATGTTCTGCAATTAAAATCATGTGAATTTACAGTGAGGAAAGGATCCATCAATGAAAATCTCATTCCCCTTAAACACAGGTAACCATTTTTGCATTAAAAAACGGTGGGACATAAAATACCCCGAGAACCATTTCACCCACCTGACAAAGGCCAGTGAGTGTGCACATAAAGGATAATGCGCTAAAGTCTGTTGTATGTTGAGCTTACTCACCGTGCACTGACAACGTTAACAACACATGATTCCAGCTCGGCCACCGGTTGCTCCGTGAACACGGCTACGTCCGTCGGTTTGATGATCCTGTTCCTGCGTCCATCACAAGATATCATACTGGTTTCATCTTCCTTCGCCGTATTTAGTACCGAAAACCGAAGGAAACATCTTCAAAATGGGGAAGACTTTAGCGGGTTCGTTCGGCTACTTAAATGCTTTGAAGTAGCATATGTAAAGTCGAATTTTCTGTAACGGCTTGAAGATGGAACACAGTTACGCCGTTTTGCACGAAATTCGCTGTCTCTTCAGATCCCAACAATTAATAAATTTAAAAGGGAAGACTTTGGAGTTTGCCGTGGCAGTGCCAACTAAACCAAAGGCTGTTTCTGCTTGCACGCATCCGGCTTCTAGCTGTGATTAGCAATGGCCTCAGCAATTTTTAGGAACCTGCTATTTTTGTCTTGAACGCGGTATCAGATACGGTCACTGGATCCCTGTGATGTTTGCTGTCAGTCGCATGACAGAACGTCCGGCAGTGTCGAATGTCATCCTGTTTGGCTCTGATACTGTACAGGTGCGCCCGTCTTCGTCTGCTCAACGGCACATGCTTCAACATTCTCGGACGTTGCACAGGTGCGCCCGTCTTCGTCTGCTCAACGTCACGTGCCTCAAAATTCTCAGACGTTGCTGTCCTTCCGTCTTGATTATGAAGGTGACCGCGCACCCGCACATGAATCAATAGGTAACATTCAGTTTGGCAGATGATTGTAATGGGGCTTTGATTGATGGCAGTGGAACAACAAGCCAAGTCTGGCTGCTTACTAGGTCGTCTGCATCGCAGCTCTCAGATGATGTTATGTGACTTCGCTGAAATCGATCCCTTTGAAGTACAGGTTATTGAGAAGAGGAAATCTTTTGGGACTTGATGTTGTAGGGATCTGATCAGGTCAATATCACGTCGGCAATAAGCTGGTGCAATGCGGGTATTTTTCTCTTGAAGTTTGCTTGCTTGAAAAAATTTTAACGCAAGTTTACATCAAAAATAGGTTAGGTTTCATTTCAGTGTAAAAGTTTTTGCTACAGTGTCAAACATTTCTGGGGAGAAGTATGGCTGATATCTTATAGACACCTGACTTATAATGAGTTGAACTTAGTGCAACTGAAGTATAATCGTTGACATATGTTGTACACTAGTAATACGTTTGTTATTGTGACCGTACTCATTATATTCTTTTCAGTTAATCGCTTGTTCTGTGGACTTTATCATGCTTTGCCTTTCTTTTTTTACAGGTTCGCCTAACAGTAAGGTGGGAGTTGAGGGATGCAGATGGCAGAGAGATTATCTGTGTTTTGATCCCCGTGAAAATCCAGTCGAGATAACCCAAATACGGCGATCGGGTTTAAGCGCCAAGCTTGAAAATAAATATCTTGTAATGTATTGCTTGTACTATTACGGATAGTTGGGGACTTTCGAACACAGGAACAGAAATTGGCCTGTTTGAAGCAACTGATCGGCGTATATTGTTAGTAGTAATACCCTGTGTCAAGCTTCTGGGTGAAATCAATCCTAAAGTTGCATATCTCAGGGGCTGACTAGAAAGTGAGAACGGCTCTGAACTAGGGGGTTCTCATTGTAATATACTACTCATAAGGTTGCTGAAAATCCGTCGACAGCCCACGACCGGTTTCGCCCTTCTTGGGGCTCATTAGGTAGACGCAGTCCTCGGGCTCCGTCAGCCTTATGTTCTCCTTTAAACCAGTTGCCTGAGAACATCACAAACGAGAGATTCAGCTGGGTTCCAGATGAGTCTCTCAAAAAAACCGAGTTGGTGTGCAAATGAGTGTATAGTGGGTTCTCACTTCGCAATACTTTAGCCTGTCCCAGCATCCACTTTGAAGCTGCCTTACCAGACCTCTTTCTGTCTTGATGGTTAATGCCAGCAGGTGACACCAGAAGCAAGCCGTCACACAATGGGTAGCTTGAATTTGTTAAGAAAATGGTCACTGAAAGACCCCAATATAGTGGGTGCTTTAACCTGATTTCGCGAAAAGGCAGTGGCTAGTGTTGGGGGTATCAATATCCCCCAGAAAACGCTGTGTTTTTATGTGTGCTAGCGAAATCCCGGCATATTCAAGGTCAAACTATGAAAAATCAATGGCCTATTGATACTCCAAGGAAATTTAAATCCGACCACGTACAGGATACCATTCTTTCCACTGACTTGGGTTCGGAAGCTCCGGGCATCGCCTGTTGATCGTGTTGTTGGATTATTAAGGTTTGTGTCCGAGGTTTTCGTCTTCTTACTATTCGCCGTGCTAGGAGTCTGGATCAAGCAACATAGCTGGGGATAGAGTGTTGCCACACTCCGCATTATCATATTGTTTGCTCGCTGCGTGACAGAACCGTAACAGCTAGTTTTGCCAATAAAAAACGGCTTTTTCGATCGTTTGCTTTGAAATTGTAGCAACATGTTTAAACATTCTTGTGGAGAAAAAAAGGATTAACCGGCCTGTCTAACCGATTCGTTGATAATCAACTCCCCACCATTTGGGACATTTTTTTACTCCGTAACAATCGTATGGTAAAAACGCGGCATCGGAAAAAAACGAACATTGGTTGGGTAAAACGAGTGACTGTCAGCACTCGCAATTTTAATTCCTTAACTGTCTAGTTTCAGCGCGTGTCATGTTTGAGGCCAAGCAAGCAGTGAAAATTGATTTGTATTCCGTTCGCACAAAGAACTTCGAGACAGTATGACTATAGCTGACAAGACAATAAACCTAAAGTGTCTGAAATGAAATGCGAGTTAGTTGAGGAATCAACGGGCAACCGTACAATTGTAACGACTAAATTGGCCAATGTAGCTTTGGTACTGGAGTTCATTGGCCGTAAAGACCCAAATCACCTACCTTTCAAGAGGCACCGTTATGTGGGAAACAATGGACGCCACGCAAACCACAACAAGAAGAAAAAGTTGAGAATGGGGTGGGTGTGCATGACATTGGCACAAAATCGGGCTCCTCTTCAGTCACACCCCTGGAGTTATTATCCAAGAGATAGCAGAAACTTGGAATCATGTTGTCAGAAGACTTAGCCTCCTGGTTGTCAACTCCAGGATATCCAAGGTGCCGATCTCATGGGATATCATCATTTCAAAGGAGCACCTACTTTTCACTATTTGTTCATCGTAGAAAGTATACGTTTTAAGAAACTTATCTGTTTATTAGAAGCTTTCTACGTAGTTACATCATACGACAGGTTTACACCAAATTAAGAGCATCGCAGATTACACACCACATTTGTTGCCAACTAATGGTGTTTTATTCAAGAACAGCTGCGCGTATCCCGTCGCAGTTCGGGCATGCCGAGTCAGACAACACCAAGAATCTCGCATAGGGTTATTGCTCGCTTCAAGATATAAGTACGTTTGGTCCAAAAGAAATCTACTGTAATACAATGGGTATGAATAGCCTGCGATTTTCATAACCTGGTTTAAAAATCAGAAAACGTCTCGTGGCTCACCTGAAGGGTCAACAACACAATAGCTGGATGTCAGGTGGGTAAATTACATTACTCGCACTCTTTCTGGAACAACATAATGACGGTGGTACATTGGTTGCCATCACGCAAAACAAAATCAACTTCTTTATACATCACAGAGCCAGGTTAAAATGGTGTCTTCCTCACGAGAGTGAACAGCACATTCGTGTATCTATCTAATATTTAGATGGCGGTGTGGCTTGCATAA